CGATCGATTGATTTATCTGGAAACACAAATTTAATGGAGTGATTTTTGAGGGAAAGTTTCCAAGACCAAGAAGCTCGATTAGGAATTCCAACAAGGAGCAAATCAGACAATGGCAGAAGGATAAGCAGAAAAGAAGCTCTTCGAAGAAACTCAGGACTTCCAGTATAGTTTTTCGGGTGATTTTGTCCTTGGTGTGAGTTTTCAAGTATCATTGTACCTTGGAAAATTTAAAAAATTTCTACCGTGAAACCTGTAACAGAAGGGTCCCCTCACAGTGTCAACTTCCAGCTCAATTATCTCTATTCCTAAGCAAGATATCAGAAAGTGGTCAACTAATAAAACACTTCTGATATTATAATAAACAATTTATCAGTTGAAAACTTTTTTATATCTTTGACAGAAACTGAGAAAATTTGGCTCAAAGTTAGGGGGCTCTTCTACTACAGGTTTTAAGGTAACATTTTTTCCAGAACCTTCGGTCTAACTATAACTGCTCTTCACGTTCTCATCGCTGCGGTCCACGGAAAAGGAGCCGAAAATCCGGATCCTATAATTTTCAGTTTCTATTTCGGCCTACTTACCCTTTTTGTATATTTCTGTATGCTTATCAAATACTTTTACAATTTCTGTATGTCTCGTGTTAAAAAATCAAAAAGTACAACTCCGGCGCCTATGCCGAATCCTTGAAAGTTTTCAATAAAACTATGTGTTATTTTTAAAGTATTCTTTTTGATTAAAACAATGATAAAAAACAAAAAATGCCCCCAGGCGGGATTGAACCGCCGACCTTCTGTTTACGAGACAGACGCTCTGCCACTGAGCTATACGGGCGACGGAGAGATGGGGGAAAGAGAACGTTAACAAATGAAACAGAAAAGAAGAAACGAAAAAACGAACGCGCACTGAAAATGGGGGAAAAAGACGAGAAGTTTGGAGATTGGAAACTTACACAACATGTAAACTCAAAAAAAAAAAATTTATTCAGATTTTGAAATTATTTTTGGTTTTCCATTTGCATGTTAAAATTGAAATTGCATTGAAAAAAGAAACTAGAGACACCTAAATAAATGCCGATAAGAAATGAATCTCTTCTAAAAATTTTATCCCAAGAAACAACGAAACTGGATCAAAACATGTGAAGAACCAAATTAAAACGCCCGAAGCCACATTTTTAAACCTATTACCGAAACAAAAAAATTAAAAAGAAAACAATGCCTGCTGCTGGAATCGAACCAGCGTCGCCACGGCCACAACGTGGAGTACTAACCACTATACTAAGCAGGCCGAAAGTGCAAGGGTCAATTTGCGTTTATGAAGGTCACCTAGTGCGTGTGTGTCGCCCTCGTTAGTGTCCCTTCTTGTATGTTGTTTCCAACAGCGGTCTCGTGGTGTAGTGGCTATCACATCTGTCTAACACACAGAAGGTCGGTGGTTCGAGCCCACCCGAGATCATTCTGCTTTTTTCCTTATTTGGATCGCATTTCAGTAGTACACTATACTTTTCTTTTTGTCAATTAGCTTTAAAAAACGCCGTTAATTTATATAGAAACTAGGAAACCCATGAAAATATTATTTATTGAGTCTTATTGAATCTTATGCAGTTCGTTGAGCACCGACTTTTCCACAAGCATAGTATCTCGTGTATGGATAGGCTGGTGCTTGACATGTATACTTGTCCAAATCTCCATTATTAAATGCTGCTTTCCAAGAGGCATAGTCATTTGGTCCCGCCACGAAGTTTGGTGAAATGATAAACTGTTGAATGCAAGCCGTGACTCCTCTGTACATCTACTTTTATAATTTTTTCCTACTAAAAACTCACGGCCAATTATTGTTATCCGGCTCGCCAACTCCCCACTTCAAACCTTCGAATCCTGTTGTATGTCCATCGGTCCATTGAAAAGTGCTATACGGTCCACAACTAGGAGATCGGCATCCCGGAAGATTTGTGGCTCCAAGCCAAAGCCCAGCTACCATAATCCCTTGGTTGGTGATTTTAGTCAGAGCCTCACGAGCTACTGTCATTCGCTCATTATCGTTTTGAAATTTGGTGAGAGTGGCTCCGAGACTTTGACATGCAGATTGAGCCTGATCTTGAGAAAAGTAGCCGTTGGTGACTCCAGAATAGCCGAGCTGAAAAAATGCATTTTAAACTTCAAAACCGGCTTTCAAACTCACATAAATACACCAAATCAATCCATTAGGTCTCTCGAATCTCATCCATCCCTCATCACATTGCTTTCTGGGTGGTGGTGGTGGTCTATGGGGTGGCCTATAGGGTGGCCTATGCCCATGATGGTGTCCATGTTCTTCAGAAGAACCAGATGATCCAGAAGACGAAGAAGAAGACGAGAATCCACCACCTCCACTATGATGTCTTTCTCCACCGTTACCATTACCTTCGAGGAAAATGGCCGCAATAAAAGGCACCAAGAAAACAAGACTAAGAAGCTTCATGCTTCGTAGTTTGGATCGGAAAATGACAACTTCTCTGATTTATATATCCGGAGAAACTATAAAAGTGTTTGTGTGGGGTTTGGGTGCAAGTTTTGTGAGATGTAATGTTCGGAACAAACTATATTCTTCTTCGGGGTATTCCATATTCTTACGAGTACCGTAAACGTTTTGAGCTCATGTATCTCGGTTCCTATAATAGATATTAAAAATCTGTCTGCTGTTAAATTATTGCTGATATTATGATAAATAATTTATCAGTTGAATAGTATTTTATATCTTTTAAAGTAACCACGGAAATTGAGCTTAAAGTGTACATATAGGGTTGGCTTCTATATTAGAGCATTAAAGGGTTGTGGAGCTCCGATAACCATTTTTAATGATGTTGTCATGTTTAAGGCTATAACCGGAACAAAAGCTATCAAGAAAATATTTAAATTCACGAAGACGGTGCTGTGCTGGCCGGGTTTATTGTAGAGCTAATTCTCGATACTTGTATTTCTTTTATTCCATTTCCGAACACTTTGTGGATTCCTGAACAAAACATTCAGTTTCAAATAATTTCCTAAACTCACTTTTAGCTGTATTCTTATACTCTGACACCACATACATTACAGTCATCGAATCAGTTGCTGGATAGAGGGTAAAACTACAAAGGAACACTCCAGTTGGAAGACTGATATCCAGATTCATAATTGGCAAAATCATGATGATAGTAATCGGAATAAAAAGAATGATAGTGGGAGTTGTGATCTGTAATCCCAAATATATTTCTCCTTTTTTCCTTCAAAAGGATCCGTACCTGTATAACCAAAGTCTTGAAAAATTGCTTATGATGCTTTCTCAATGTCTCCGAAAAATGCTTAATCTTATCCTCCATTTTTGTATGCATCGTCCATCCGCAATAAATCATAATGGCATATTGAAAGTTGACAATTGCGCTGATATTGATCACTCCCATAAGATTAAACCAGCGGATTGATCCATCAACAGGATCATAAGATACAATTGACATTGCAGGAAGTTCTGTGATATTTGCATTGTAGCGAAGAAGAACGTCTTCACGGAAGTATTCATCGGCAATTTCGTCTCTGGCAAGGAAGAAGTAAGTTCCAAGGGCATATTGGAACCCAAAGAATGTGCAGTAGCCAAACCAGATCAGAGACCGGATCCCTTGGAAGTAGTTTAATTTGTTAGTGCTGAAAAAGATGTTTTTAAAATTTTTGTTAAAATGAAAACTCACTCAAAAACAGCCCAATATCTGTATATAAAATGCACCGACAACAGCGACATTGTGGCTGAATGGAAAAATGTGTAACCTGCCAATGGTATATTCCTACTCCATGAACTTGTCAAACCAAAAGACTCTTGGAAACTGAAGAACAGAAATCCGGCTTTATAATTGTGCACATTCTGGAATTTTCTTTATTGGTTTTCAGGATCTTTCCTTCTTATTGCCTACCGGATAAACCAGAATCTCAACGGCTGAAAAAACCATGCCAAGAATTGTAAACGCACTGATCAGGTATTTATAGGATCCAAAGTTTTTCTGCGCGCCGAGATAATTGAGCAGAAGAAGAAGCGATCCGAAAAGTGTTGTGAGAATGAATCCAAGTTTTGGGACAAAATGTGTGACTTGAATCCAGAATAAAAAATTTCCAGAAGATTCAGACATAGTTGTAGGAAAATTAGAAAAAATTGGTTATTTGGTTTGGGAATTAAATACCACTTTGAATTTTTGTAGTTTTCATAGGTAACGCCTCCGTCATAACTCCAGTCATATTGTATCGGTTGTCTGGAGCAATATCCAAGAAATCAAAAAGAGTCAAATTTGTGATAATGGGAAAAATTGAGTTTTTAAGGAAAAAATACCAAGTGCTAACAATTTGAATTATAATTAAATGAGTTTTGGTGCAAGGGGATCTGAAAAAAAAAATAGTTGACAAAAATTTAAATAGAGGGCCCAAAAAAAAAGAAAATCCAAACCGAAGTGCTGTACCGTGTGAACCATATAACTTTCGAACTTAATACAAAACCTTTAAAACTGAATCTCCCGTAATTCTACTGAAAACTTCCTATTTGAATATTCCAGCTACTTATCTGCAAAATACTGTAATTCAGAAATCATTTCAAATTTCGATAATCAGCAAATCTGAAATATTATTGTCCCGTTCACTATAGATCCAAAGCTTTTGATCTACAAGCTTTTCACTTAGGCAAATACTCATCTGCTTTGGTATTATCTGCTATTTACTCGTCTGCTATATTGGCTCGTCTGCTATGGCTAGATCATCTGCTATATTGGCTCGTCTGCTATATTTGTCTTATCTGCTATTTTTACTCCAGTTTCAGAATCTCGTCTGCTATCAGGAAAATCATCTGCTATGGGTTTTCTAGTCTGCTATTATTTGGGAAAATCAGTGAAACCTGAGCTTTATTAACGCTGGCGCGCAAGTAACTTGAACATGGCAAGTCAGATTCTAGTAAGTGAAGAATTCGCTGAAATTTTTTCTCTGTTGCGAAATCAATGGTCTGCTAACTAGACTATAAACTACAACTATTTCACAATCATGGCTCTGAATTTTCGATTTTTCATCAAGGGAACAGCGGATAGATTAAGAAAACAGCTAAAAAAGAGATTTTACTTAAAAACAATAAAAGAAATAACACAAATATTTCTGGGGACGGGTTTAGATTAAAAAAAAAAGTTTACAAGTGAAAGAGGGATAAATATCCGGTGGTACAAAATAGAACGATCACAGAAATACATTACAATTAGCTGAATCAAAATACATCACAATTAGCTTACTCCAGAAATCGATATTTTCGATCCATATTCATCGATTTTCCATGAAAAATTCCGAAATTCTCCAATAAATCTCGATATCAACATTCAGGATCATACTTCAATAAAACTTGATAACGATATTCGAAGCGCTCTTCTTTTTGATTATCATAAAATTGTTTTGGGTATTTTCTCCAATTATATTTTTTCGAGATTTTAAGTTCAAATTTCTGAAAATTAATTTGTGTTAAATACCTGAAAACTAGATTTGAACACTGCGAAGTAGGCTCTCCTTTGAAAATTTCGAAAAAAAACTACTTTCATTCATTGCCGGTCGGATTTCCATCAATATAATCTCTTTTTTCCTTTTGATGAGCCGTAGGCTGCCTGAAAATTATGCTGATGTTGAAAATACGAAAGTCGAGAAAAATGAGAAAGAAAAACGTTTTCAGATATTTTCGAAACATGGAAAAAACCCAAAATTCTTCTAAGAATTTCTAAAAATTCGTCACAAATAATTCCGAAAATTCTTGACCATAATATATTCCAGCTGAAAATAGAGAATTTTCTCAAAAAAAAAAGAAAAAAAAAAGAAAAAAAGTTTGCGAAACGCAGGAAAATTCGTATTTGGCTGCCCATGCTTTAACGTTTGATCCTCAGCCAACGACGCTTTTCGTGGCGAGACACGCTACCTCGTGTAATCCTCTCGGAGGATTTTGGCAACAAAACAAATTTCTGGAAGTCGAAAAACGAAGAAATACTGCTAAAATTGATTAATTTTCTCAAGAAAAACTATAGAATGTTGTCTTGCGCTGTCTTAAAATTGCCTTATCGGTATTTTTACATTTTTTTCGTTTCCGATTTTTTTATTTAAAAATTTATTTCCCGTATAAGTAATAAATACGTTCTATTCTTCGCAAACAAATGGTCGCCGAACCTCTTCTAGTATGAGGTACATAGTGAACACTCAAAATCTGATTTCAAAAAAATTTTTCAGACAGAGAACAAGGAGGTTCACCCCACAGGACCATTCACCAGATACTGGAATTTCTACAATTTATAGCAGATGAGAAACCCCATAGCAGATGATCTTCCTAATAGCAGATAAGACAAATATAGCAGATGATCTATAGCAGATAACTCAGGTAAACGATTCTGAATTAGATCTGACTTGATTCGGAATTAGATCTGGGTTCGTTCGTAAATAGAAGTGGCATGATCTAGTACAGAATTTAGCTGATCTAATTCCAACAAACACCGAATGAACTACGAACGAATTAGATCTAATTCCGAACAGACCAGCGGGATTTCGGAGCATCGTAGCGAGCGCTTTTCAAATTTTGTTTTCTTTTCAACGCCATTCACTTTATTTATAACAAAATTTATTAAAAAAGAAAACAGAACAAGTATGAGAAAAAAAAACATTGATTAAAATGTAGATATAGGAAATCGGAACGAAAATGAGGGGTGTGATACAAATGAATGAATGGGATCAGCAAGAAAGAAAACGATGAGATCAGCGAGAATAATGGGACCTATGAGATAAGAAAGTGTGACAAAATTTATGAAAAAAAAAATCTCAATTCGAATTCTTCCGCTCGTCCATATTTTCGATTTTGAAAATTCTCTTGTCATAGTTTCCGGTTGTAGATAAGATGGATATTCTTTATGAAATGAATGTTGATTTAACTGAAAAAAGAAGTTTTTGGCTTTGTGATGTCGATAATAAACTTACTTGAGCCATTTCAATATAATTTCCGTACTCAAATCTTCGCAAATCCAAATAAATTCATCAGAGCAGTTGTTTTATACAACAAATCCCAAACTTTTGAATAGTTTCAATCGGGTCATGACACATTCGGTTTAGAGCCTGCAATTTCACACATGTTTCTTTGTCCACCAGACTTTCGAAAACTAACCTGCTAATGACAAGACACGGCTTCCAAAAGTAAGGCCTTCTCGACTTGTGTAAATTGAGCTCACTATCAGAGAAATGTATCATCTCTTTTTTTCTTGTTTTTTCGGTGATCCCTTGCATCGTTTTTACGTAGTCCTTTAAGCTGAAAAGGGCAAAAATTATCTTACCTGCAGAGTTTTCTATGAATTTAAAATCTTCAAAATATTCGTATTTTTGTCGGTTCATAGAATTACTGTCTTCTATAGAAGTCGTATATATAAATTAAACTTTGAATATTCAGCTGTCCCTAAAAAAATTCACCTAAAATTTTGCAAAAACGTGCACAACACATTAAAATATGTTCCAGAAAATATAGTTTAAAATAACCGAGCGAAAAAAGGCAGAAGTTGAGAGAAAAACCCATTTTCCTGACGAAAAAAATTTAGGACAACAAAAAAAAGAAAACAATTCATCCGCGGCAGCTGGGTCATTGATGGCGCATTTCTCGTGGCAACTTCGGTATTAGATCTAGTCCAGATCTAATTCCGAATGAACTCAGATCTAATTCCGAATCGTTTACCTGAGTAAGCCAATATAGCAGATGATCAAGCTATAGCAGACGAGCCAATATAGGAGACGAGTAAATAGCAGATAATACCAAAGCAGATGAGTATTTGCCTTTCACTTATGTATTTTCTATTTTTAGTATGTTTACATATTTCCTGGAATCTTTTTTTTTATGTATTTAAAATACTGTATTATATAAAATCTGGTTGTTGTTCATAATTTTATAACATTTTATTTTTTTTTATTGAAAAAAATATTTTTCATGGTGGATTCGGAGCCGGAAGTGAATCAGTCATCAAAACCAGAAGCTATTCATAAGATTATTGGAAAATTTCAAAACTCTAAATCTTCAATTTTGGAAATTCTGAGGTTTTATTTTATTTTGATTTTCATGTATTCCGATTTTCGTGTTCTTATTTTTTGAATTCCTGAATTCCTATCCCTAACTATCCGGCTTTTTCCGAATACTGAGGTTCTGAAACACAAAGATTCTCAAATTCTCGAACATTATGAATTATGAAAATTAAAATACCCTGTCATTCCCACCAAAAAGTTTTTGGACCCGACAACTGTTTGGCATAACAATCCAGTTGTTTTTCAACTTTTTCCTATTGTTATCGTTCTGTTACTCTCATAAGTATATTTTCAATGTTACATGTTTTTCAAATTTGAATGGATTGTATAAATAGTGGGGTGTGTTTTTCACATTTCGTCTCATTTTTGTATGTTTTTCATGATGGACTCCCAGCCGGAATTCACCCAACCGATAAGAACCAGAGCAATTTGTGAGTTCAAAAATTTTTAATATTTCAGTATTCTTTTAAGATTCCTAAACATTCCAGGCTTCCTTCTCATCTCTTCTCTGATTTATATCGCTCCCATCGTTTGCCTTATACTTGCTGGAATTCATTCCTACGACGACTACATTTCTGACTGGAAATTCTGGAATTTCGCGACTATTTCCTGCTTTATTATCTATTTTCTGGCTCATTGCATTCAGATATTTGGACAAGCAAAACACGATAAAAATCTAGAGGAAAAAAGTGAATTTCCGGATGAAGAACGATTTCAGAAAAACCAAAAACGATTGAACAATGTCAAATTGATTTTGAAGACTGTTTATTTCATTTTGTAAGAAATTGGAAATTGAAATTGAAAAAAATGGAAAAATTTCAGATCTTTGTACGGATTCTACATCAGTTACAATGTTCTGGACGTTCTGGAAACTGGGGACTATCGTTACGAATTTTATTGGGCATTCTTTTTGTATTGTACTTTCTCATTGCTTATTTTCATTCTTCCTGTTGTAGTTTTCTTGTTCGGCAGAATTCTGGATTTGAAGAGAAGTCTTCATGAGAAGACAGTGGAAAATTTGAAATGTTTGATTTGATAATTTTACTGAAATTTTGTGGGAATAAATTGGTTCTCGAAAAACTATAATTTTTCGAAATTTTCCAAAAATTTTCAAACCAAACTTCCCAAGAAATTCGTTTTTTTTTCAAAATTCTCTCGAAAATGAAGTATTAGAAAAGCTTCAAAAAATCAGGTATTAAACAATGCAGCAGTCCTAAAAACTCGAAAAATCTCTGAAATTCAAAACAAAAAAACAAAAAGTTCAGAAATCCAGATATTTGAAAATTTTCAGTTTTTAAAAGTTCAAGTTCATTCCATAAAACTCAGGTGATTCAGAAATTCAGAAATTCAGAAGTTCAGAAATTCAGAAATTCAGAAATTCAGAAATTCAGAAATTTAGAAATTCAGAAATTCAGAAATTCAGAAGTTCAGAAATTCAGAAATTCTGAAATTTAGAAATTCAGAAATTCAGAAATTCAGAAATTCAGTTTCATATCAATGAAACAGTTCCGTAATTCTAATCCTCTAGACATGTTTTTATATTTTTCAGACGGCTTAATTCTATTGTTTTTCAAATTTGAATGGATTTTATAAGTAGTGGTGTGTGTTATTCACATTTCGTCTCACTTGTGTACAGAAAAAATAACGAATCGTATGAAACAGTCCCGTTTAATTTTAATCCTCTAGACTTGTTTTCTATTTTTCAGACAGTTCATTCCCTTGTTTTTCAAGTTTAGAACCATATAAAAAAGGATATGGGATTTCCATTTCAATGGGGTTTTTCGAATTTCAGAGCTATCGAAATGGATTCCAAAAAAGGAAGTAATTCTAAGTGCAAGTTCTTTTTTCTTTAAATTTTAAAAAAACAAATTAACTTTCAGATTTTCTGGTTTTCTCTGTGATTCTCTGTCTTTGCCCCAGTGTATTTTTAATCTCAAACGGAATTCAACTATCCATTTTCGATGAACATCTTGCGGATTTTTCCATTTGGCATTTTGCAACTGCATTTTTCCTCATTTTCTATTTTTGGGCTCATCTGAAAAAGCTGCGAGAAAATGCGAAATTGGAGAAAACGAATTTTGAAAATCCGGTGTCAATCCAAGAAAAACTATACAAATGCAGAATTTATTTTAAAAACTGTGCTATTCTTTCTGTAAGTTTTATTTTTTTTTTTAGAAAAAAAATCTAATTTTTCAGAATTTTTTACGGATGTTTTGTCAGTTTTGGAATGCTCATCTACGCGGATGATTTCAATAATCCACGAGAGGAGTTTTTCATCAAATCCGCAATGTTTGTTGGTTCAGAAATATTTTTTCCTGTACTTAATAAATATAGTATTTGCCATTGCGTATTCGGACTGGAGAGGAAATCGCAAAGAAAGCAGAAGAATTAGCTGCCGATAAATTTCGCGATGGAGACTACAATATTCTTTTGAGGAATTGTCAACATTTTGTGTCTCTGTGTGCCACTGGAGTTGAATTTGCCATCATCTGAAACTGTCTTTTGGCTTCTTCTGGAATTTTTCGATTTTGAGAAATAAATGTTTTCATGTCCTCACTCTTTAAAGATTTTTTTTAAAGATTTGAAATTATAATACGCAACAAACAGAACATGATCAAATCAAAGTTTTGAAACTTTCCACTATCTTCTCATTAATAAATTTCTGTAGGATGTTTAGTTTTCCACACAAAAAGCTAGCAATCTGTAGACCAAATAAAACCAGAAAAATTATACAAAAAATCAATGATTGAAAATAAAAATCGTAGCGAGGATTGTAAACTCCCGCGTAGCTGAGTTGTCCAGAACAAAAATAGAATCCGTATAACGTTCTGAAAACACAAAATTTCGAATTCAAAACGAATTTTTCAACTTACAAAAAAAATAATACGACTTTTAGAATCATCTTGGCTTTTGTATACTTCTCTTCGTCGAAATTTGAAAGATTCAAGTTTTTTTGAAATTTGGCTTGCTCTTTTAATTCCTTAAAATAAATGTATATATAAATTGACAAACAGATGACTGTGAGCAAGTGAATTATGGTCAAATCGGCTAGATATCCTTCGAAAAGAGACATCAGAAAACCAATGGCACAGATATAGACGACTGGGGCCACACAAATTATGAAACAACCAATAAGGAAATCTGAAATAATTGATGTAAAATTCAAAATGGTTTTAGTTGGCATAAAATTTTGAAATTTCGAAAATGGTTTCTAGAGTCTAGTACATATATTGATTTGTTGAAACATTCTGAATTTCAAACTGAAAGACTTTGATACTCTTCTTAACTTCTCAAAATTCTCAAACACGTTTCTAAATTCTGAATTTCGTAATATCTTTTTTTTTTAATTTTGGAATCATTTATTTTCTGAACTTCTGATTTTTTTAGATTTCAAATTTTTTAATTTTTGCATTTTAAAATGCCGATTTGCTGATTTGCTGAACTTTTCAATTTTCGAACTACGAATTTTGGAATTTTAAAATGCTCAGATAGTTGAATTTCCAGATGTTTTACTTTTCTTTTGATATTTCGAATTTTGGATTTTCGAAATTCTCAATTTCTGAATTCCAAAATTTTTGCATTTCTGAACTTTTAAATAATTGTTTAATTTTTCGACATTCGAATTGTTTGACTTTTGATTTCTTTTAAAGTTTTAAGTTTTCGAACTTCGGAATTTACAAATTTCTCATTTTCAGGACTTCAGATTTTTAGATTTTCGAATTTTTAGACGATAAATTTAAAAAAAAAAACTTACAGCGAGCCATATTTTTATTATTTTCTGTTGCTGGTGCATTCATTTTGACAAGTTTTTCCTGGAAAAACTGAGAATATTTTCATATTTTATACACAAATTTATTATTTTAAACCTAGAAACATGACAATTCCTGACAAATATTGTTTGGTTGGAAAAACAAAAAAATGCCTATGGGATTAATGTTTTTTCCTATTTTAACATAGTTGAACCAGTTTGAGGACAAACATTTTTTTATTCGATCGAAGATCTGAAATTTGTTGAATATTTCGAAATTTGAATATGTTGTATGAGTCATGAAATTGAAAGTTCAAACTTTGCAAAGATTTTGGAAAGCAAACTTTCAATTTTTAAATTGTTATTTTAATGGGAATACAGTACCTAGCAGTACTGTATTCTTCGAAATGATCCCACACCTGTGTAATAATCCCCAACAAAGTACCCAAACCAACCAAATCGTTTTTCTCATTCTCAATTCATTTTTTCGCTGAATAATGAGTTACAAATCTGATGGTAAAAATGGTAAAAATGGCGCGATTTGTAAGATATCTCTTAAATTTTTATTCCAATCAACTTGTAACTTTCCAGGCATCCTCATTCTTATCAACCTTCTTTATCAATCATCACCAGTATTCCTTATCACTACTGGAATCATGGATCATAACCTATCATTCTGGGCTTTTTTCACAGCTTTCGTGATGGTTTTTTATTTTTTAATGCAATGTACTGGTTTGAATGTTATGAAGATGCGAAATGGGAGAAAAAGTACGCAGGATCAGCGTCGGATATTCTAGAACATGACTATAGAAAACGAAGATGGAGATTGGAGATTTTGATGAAGATCGTAAGAATCGGGTTCCTAATTTTGTGAGTAATTATTAGGTTGATGCAAAAGTTTCTTCCGATTTTGAATGGTCCACTTTGAGAATTCATATCTTGTCAGTGGGATGGTTTTTCTTGGAGGATGTTTTTGGTCGGATAGAGTATCACATGGACTAGTTATATACACTTTGCCTCTCTAATACTTCTTGTCGTTCGCGAGCATGCCGCTTTCTTTCGACCTACACCGTCTACATTTTCGAAACGTCATTTTATTTTTATTCGTTCCTGGTTTGAAAAACTCTGATATTCATCAGAAAATGAAAGAAAGAGATGAAGGAATATCTCTTGTTGTTCCTACCATCAAACACTGGTCCGATCAATTTAGCCAAACATTTTGAAGTCAAATACGGAACTCGGTCCCGAAGTTGGACTTGGACCTATTAAACACAACTGTTGAAGCCGATCCATTACAAACCACCCGTTAAACGTCAAAGGCATTGTCCGTTAGTCAACCAAGTATTGTGACTGGATTAAAGTCTCATGGCAACTTCAAGAACTGGGTCGATTCGTACACAATGTTTTGAAGAAATATGTTATGGATCGTCGTTTAGACATGTGCATGTTTCTCCTATCGTTTCTTCGCACGTTCAATTGGGTGGATGATCTAATTACCGTAGATAATAAGTCGGTAAGTTACTCTAACAATATGTGGAAGGGTCAGTTGATTGCCAAGTAACAGCTAGCCCTGGACATCCCGGAACCTAATTTTACTCAAAAGTTGGGGATGCTGTCTTTGGTGGGCTGTCAAAGGAGTGGATACTGGG